ATTTTCCAACCCAGACCTGGCAATCCTAATAAATTAACATTCTTGTACATCATATAAGATCTTCTGGAGAGGCCCTTCTCTGGGGGGTGGCAGCGTAGGACTGTAAAATATAAAAGCCTTGGAAAACCGGTAGAGGGTTACCTGTCCATTCCCAGATCACCTGAGCAAATGTATAGGGTTGCCAATTCAAGCTTGGGAAATCCCTAGATTTTGGGGGGTGCAGCCTGGGGAAGGAGGGACCTTAGAATGGTATAATACCATAGAGTCCACTCTCCAAAGCAGCCATTTTCCCCAGGGGAACTGATCTCTGTAGTCTGGAGATCAGTTGTAATTCTGGGAGATCTTCAGACCTCCCCTGGAAGTTAGAAACCCTGTTGCTAACTAGGGATCCCAAGTCCCCCCGGGGGCGGGGAAACCCCCACCCCAGAGGCCCATTCCCCGGCGCTGCCGGATCGGGCCTCGGGGGGAACTCCACCCCGATGTACGCATCACCCGGAAGTGACGCGGGCACGCCGGGCATGCTGGGGGCGGGGCCATGGCCATACAAGGGTAAACTCTATGGTCACTTCCGGGTGATGTGCGTGCGGTGTGCGCGCACAAGTTGCCGGCCGGGAGCCCTCTGCTCCCGGTGAAGATAGACTCGGCAACCCTGTTGCTAACTCTAGCTTGGGAAATTCCTGGAGATTTTTTGGGAGTGGGGGGTTGTCTGGGAAGGGCAGAGTTTGCCAAGGAGGGGGAGCTCAGCAGGGATGTGATGCCACAGAGCCTGCCCTCTGAAGCTGCCATTCCCTCCAGCCTGGGGAGTTGATCTCTCTAGTCTGGAAATCAGCTGTAATTCTGGGACAACTCCAGGTCCCACCTGGATGTTGGTAACTCTAGCTAGATTAATAGGTATTTGGCCAGGAGGCAACACAGGATACGTTACCTTTAAGATATTATGTTAGAAGTTCCATGCTGTCCACGGCATTTTTTTAAAACATCAAAAGGACATTTAAAGATAATTATACAAATCAGGATGTCAAGATTGTCTTGCTGCTCCCTATAATTTTGAGGCACTCTTCCTTATGGCGTCGTATCCATGTTACATGTGTACATTTCCCCAGTCTTTGCTTCAACAGCATTGGTTGCTTCTGGGTGTAATGAAATGTATGTATATGCGAAAGGGACAAGTAATTGAAGGCAGTTGTGTCGGGTTTCACTTCTAGTTCCACCCAGATGCTACAATCATTTATTTTTAAACACTTCTATCCCACCCGTCTCCTCAAACAGAGGACTCAAGCAGATTCAAGGCAGTCCACAAGCAATTTTAAAACAAACAAATAAACCATAACCATTAAGTACTAATACATTTACGACTGTCACAAAACACTCATGTGAACCATCAATTAAAATCCTCATAAATAATTCTACCTTTCTTGAAAGGTTAAAAAGATGGACGTCTTCCCAACTTGCTCAGGAGGGCTATTGCATAGTGTGGGTGCCATCACAGAAAAGGCTCAGGTATAAGCTGCAGCTGTGTGAGCGTGGAGGGCACACAAAGCATGTCTTGATAGGAGGAAAAGTGGTGTCATTCAAGGAGTTCCCAACACTGCTAGAATGGTCTTTATCACAGAGACTAGAGTGTCACTATGTGGAGACCATTCTTTTCTCCCACTTATCACTTCCTGAGGGACAGATAATTGGTAGGGTTAGGGGGTTAGCAATTTTGGATTTAAAATTCCTGGAGATTTGGGGGCAGAGGCCGGGGAGAGAAAGGTTTGGGAAGGGCAGGGACCTCAGCAGGGCATAATGCCATGCAGCCAGTTTTTCCAGAGGAACTGATCTCTACAGTCTGGAGATCAACTGTAATTCCAGGAGATCTCCAAGTACCATCTGGAGGTTGTCCTCTCTCTCTCTCTCTCTATGTGTGTGTGTGTGTGTGTGTGTGTAGTCTTAAGACAGTGAGGTTTGGGGAGGGGAGGAACCTCAGTAAAGATGTAATGTTGGTAATTTGGGCTAGGGGACGGTAATTCCTTACCAAGGATAGGTAAATGGAAGACTTAGGGATATAACATATCAGGAGAGGTAGTTCTACACACATCTGAGTTCTTGGCCATGAAGGGCTTTGCAGCTGTGAACATCTACTATTTGCATTTGCTGTTAGATGTTTTGCTGTTGGAACCCCCAAATACAAGCAAGGCTCCTTTCAAGACCAACATCTCCTCTGTTACCTCTGGGAACTACTCTTTCACTCCTGAATGCTACCACCATCTTGGATATTGTCCAGTGTGTGCACAGCTGACAAAGGGGTGAGTGTAAACAAACAAAACAAGCAAAAAGTGAGGTATCCATGAGACTGGGAGCAACAGAAGTGGATACCAGGGACAGAAGAGCAGCAAATGAGGAGAGTTGAGAAGAAGAGTCCAGAGAAACAGCTCTAAATCTCCAAATCTTTTTAAAAGTTTAGGCCATGAAGCTATATGGACCACACAAATACTACCCAGAACTATTTTATATGTCAATATGGCTTTATGCAGTGTACTGCCAAATGTGTTTACTCTGAACTCAATACCCACCAAGTGCAAGGGGACTTACTTCCCAGACAGCATGCTGATCATATCTACTAATGGTTGCCAACCTCCAGGAGATTCTTGGAGTTTTCCCAGAATTGCAACCATTCTCTAGACTACAGAGCTCAGTTCCCCTGGAGGAGATGGCAGTTTTGAAAGTGGGCTGTACGAAATTACATCTCTGCTGAATTCCCTCCCCAAACTCCATCCTCCTCAGAAACCGTACTCAAATCTCCAGGAATTTCCCATGCCAGACTTGGCAACCGTAAAGCCCTACTGCACTCAGTGGGGCTTATTTGTTAATAATCCGAAGGAATTTGGAGGCATCTGAAGCTCTGATTTCCTAGAGCCAATTTGCTACTGTATAGAATGTTTCGTCTTCTTCACACACAAGGATGTCCTTATATGCATATCCTTGAGACCGCCTCTCCCCTTATGAGCCCTGTAGGACCCTACAATGGGCAAGCCAGCATCCCCTGGTGGTCCCTGGCCCCAGGGATGTCCATCTTGCCTCAACCTGGTAGAATAAGCTCCCATGTGGTATCAGGGCCCTGCAGGACCTTTTACAGTTCCGCAGGGCCTGCAAGATGGAGCTTTTCTGCCAGGCTTTTAGCTGAGGCAGTGGATGTCCACGCTTTATTGGGCCTCCCCTCCAGTGCTCCAGTGAGTCAGATCTAAATAACTACTTGGAAACCCAACTACCTCCTCTGTTGAGGCTCTGGCTAGAGGCTGTGCATATTTTATTTGATGTGTTTTAATTGGTTTTAACTGTTTTTGTATACTATGTATGATGGAACCCACCCTGAGCCTGCTATGCAAGGAGGGTGGGATACAAATCTAATAAAATAAACAAATCGATAGATAACATTTGCTGACAGTTATTGAATCACGGTCATGTACCTTCCTACACAATCAGTTAAGACTCAGACAAGTACTCCACCTACCAACATCTCTAGGCATTATTCTTTCGTATGGGAAGGGGGGAAGGGAGGGACCAATTATCTTTTTTTTACAAATCAGTGGTCTTTTTTTACAGAAACAGGAAAGGACAATCAGGCCTGCATGTTGCACAACAGAGATCTCACATGAACCTGCCTTATACTTAATCAGACCATTGGTCCATCAAGGTCAATATTGACTGGCAGTGGCTCTCCAGGGTCTCAAGCAGAGGTCTTTCACATCACCTGCTACCTGGTCCTTTCATCTGGAGATGCTGGGCTTGAACCTGGGACCTTCTGCATGACAAACAGATGCTCTACCACTGAGCCCCAAACATCTTCTCCAGTCTCTATTAAATACAATGAAAGTAAGCAAAGATACTAGTTCCTCTGGTCAAAGTCAATTCAGCTGAGATAAATCAAAGATGACTGCAAATCAACTCTGCATTCTTCCAATTTCACTTTAATTTTTTCAAAAAAAATCTTCTGGAACAATTATTCCTTTAAGCTGTAAACTCAGCACAGTGGCTGTACCATTTTATTCTTGAAGACCGTGATTGGATAGAAAAATTCTCAGCTGCAAACTAATAGCATATTTATTACCCCCTTAGTGCCGCTCAAGTCATGGTCACAGAGTCAGTCTTTACAAGACACTTTCCATCTTCATTCTCGCTAAAGAAAAAGGAAACAAAGCAAAGACGCCACCTTCTGGAAAATATCGAATACGTCTGCTTTAAACTACCAAGCAGGTACAGATGTTGACATCTGACCAAAGCAAATGTCTTTTTCCACAGCACAAATTAATTAAAAACAAATCTTTTTTTGTGCTGTCACCTTTACCGTACTGATGCTTTGTGGGTTGCTGTCCATACTGGAAGACTTCCTTTAAACTGGGTGTAGAACCTGAGCCAGCGGCTCCTTTAGCACATGAGGAGAGAAAACTGAAGGAGGTTTTCTTCCTGATACTCATACCACTTTAGTATGAATTTGGGCCAGACAGCAACATGGGCTACATACATATTTACACATATCCAGTGTACCCTTGTCTCTCTGACCACACATAGTCACAGTCCCCTCCAGCATCCTGCATTCATTGTGTTCCCTTATTTGAAGTGTGAAAAACTAATAAAGAAGACAGAAAATGGCTTTCTTGCATTGCAACATAATTGCATGCCTTGCAAGTTTCTACATGTAGACTTGTCACCTTTTCCCTAACAGAGGCTGTATACCTTTAGGAATTGTGAGATATACCAAAATTCAACAGACTTTCCCAACACAGAAAAGCAATTCCTAAGGATTCCTGTCTGATATGCAGCTGTTAAAGGTGGAACGCCCTCAGGAAAAATGGCAGCAATTATAGCTGCACAAAAAATTAAAAGCAAATACAAATGCTCAAAACTGTTCTCCTTGATGAGATAAAAACCTACAATGCTATTTTTTGTAATGTAATGAAATCTATCCATCCCATAGCTCCCAAATGACTGCAGTCTTCAGTAGAAGAAACCTTACTTACACTTTCTTGTGACACGTGGATATCGGCATTTCCCTGAAGTGTTCCCAGGCTGATCACTTTGCCTCCTTTGGCTTGAATGTCAATATTCTTACTCTGGAACAGAATTTTATGCACGTTAAAAGAGTTCATCTTGTTAACACTGATGTTCTCTAAATATGTGTTTCTCAGCAACGACAGGTCTTTGGACTCAGTTTCAGTTGGCTCTTTCAGCCACTCCTTTGGGAAATGAATTTAGTAATTGCAAGTCAAGCAGAAATCCAGCAGTTAAAGATTTCATACTATTTTAACAGCATATCAGGAAAAGTTGCATCAATATAATTTCCACTTGTTATGCATCTGTTAAAGCCCATACAAACTAAGTAGACACTTGAATACTGTGTTTTTGTTTGCAGGGACTTTCAAAAAACCTCAGCATGATGCACAAATGGAAAAACAGCTTGACAAACACAGTCGTTTGTAGTTTGTCAAAGATCCAAAACAAATAAAGCTCTAACAAATTCTTTAGAGACAATTCATAATTCTATTCACCTACACTAATAACACCCAATGTAGAAACTCTTTACAAGGGATCAGAACATTTTGCAAAAATGTATATATCCTTGTGTTTACAAGTATTTAATATTCTTATTACATAAAAATTACTATCTTTTCCAGTGATGTTTTCAAACTAGTACCACAGATAGAAAGAACTGTGTGTAAATGACTAACTAAATTGCTTTATCAGCTTGCACACTGTGATAAAAATACTTGATTTAGATAAATCAGCTACTGCATATGCAAGAATATGTTCACTTGCATAAAGAATATTTATGGGAGATAAAGCAGCATATTTTCTAAAAGAAGACAAGAAAAGGAATTGAGTATGTGAGACAGAAAATGCCTCTGTACCTTTATTGACTGTAAGATGCTAGTTCCTTTCTCTGTTTCTATTCTGCAGCTTTCACATTCGATTTTTTCAATTTTCACACAGCCATCCCCTGATGTCTTGATATCCAAGTCTAAAAACAATTACTAATGGTGAACTGCATTGAACTGTACTTGTTTTAATCTAATACGGTATTTCTTTTGGTTGCAATAATCTATACACTGGGAATCCTACATTTGAATATCTGAAGGAACTAAAAAAAACCCTTAGAACACACACATCATAGCGTTTGTAAAATGTGTATATTTAAAGCACACTCATAAGACTCAAGTGAGTGAGTCCATGTATTATTACCATTAGAATATTTGTCTCCAAAATTAACATATATGAGGGTTCTCCCATTTTATTCTTACAACAACCCTATGAAGTAGATTAGGTTTATAGACAGTGACTGACCCACAAACATCTAATGACAAGCTGAATGGGAATTTGAACTCAAGTCTTTTCAGTACAAACCTGACATAATATCCACTGTACCATAAAGAGATACATTGTCATTAAATGGGAAGTTTACTAGGCTTGGCCAGCAGACATCTATAGGAGTGAAAGAAAAACTGTGCTGGCTAAAATGTCAGGATTTCAAAACTGTTTTTAATTTTGCCCAGACATCTACTTAAACACCAGCTGAAAACAGAAGCCAAGAACACCAACCTGTTACGAAAAGCCTTGAGCCACAGCAGTGAACATTTTAAGTAATCTGCAATGGCTGCAAAAAGCTGGAAATATATTTAGTCACATTACTTAGGAAGTGCCAAACCAAAAGGAATGTGCAAGCCTGCGAACAATCATCTCAACTTTGTATGACAAAATGTGAGAATTGTTTAGCTGGATGCCACAGTATCCCACAGTCAACACATTACTTCTTTTCGACCAGTTATTTCACATACCAAATTTTACTGGGACCCTCACGTCCACAGAGGCTGTACTGTCCATGTCATCTGAGAGGATTGCCATCTCTTTTTGCTCTGTGTCATACTTCACACGCACATTATCCAGGTCTGCACCATGGCAGGGATTGGCGTTCTGTCCACTCACTGTAACAAATACCCTGTCAGCATCAGGGTACTTATGCGGGTCGAGTGGGCCCACTGTGACATGACAAGGGAGCCGCACTTTCAGCTGGCCAAAGGGGCTAACAACCAGGGTCCACTCTTTGAGGGGCTCAGTATTCTTTTGCTTGCTTTCTTCTGGTTCAGGAGGACCTCTCCTGCGAACACACGGACTGGTGACGAAGGTCAGCTGTGAGGAGGCACCCCATGGCTCTTGCCCAGCAACCCCCCTCTGTCTCAGCAACCCACGCCAGCCACATGCTGCAATCTTCGCTACCTGCTCCCATCTTGGCAACTGAGGTAACATCCTTGTCAGCCTTGACTGCACCTCCTGGTGGACTAGTCCTTCTGTATGCAGAGACGGGGGGTGTTACAGAATACCAGGGCAAGCTCAAGGCTGATGCTTCTTCCCTCTTAAAAATCCATTTCGTACAATTTACAAGAAATAGGAAACTGGCCTGAACCCAGCCTTCAAAGGCAACTTGAGCACCGCCCTGTCACAGTGATGTCTGCTGGGAGTGGTAGTTTCACGTTCGCTAAATCTCATAAAATAAATCAGGAGTTAAAACTACAAGTCCCAGAATGCCAAAGGTCCACCGAAATCTCAGCCAATGAGCTGCCGGAAAGGGCGGATGTTTTCCTACTATACAGGATGGGGTTGGAATCCTACAGTGACCACTCGGGAGAGAAGAGGGCGGGACGTGAGCTGTGGAGCGTTCGTTTCCATGGAAACGGAAGACGCTGATGTGGAGGTTGGTTAGTATGTTTCGCAGGTAGTCGCAAAGGGTCCCGGGAGGGAAGTCGGCACGCCGAAGAGAGCTTCGTAGCCTGGTAGGGCGGGCAGGATGAAGGGCGTGATGCTTGGGGAAGCTGAGCTTTGCTGCTCTTGGATGAGACTGAAGTGTTGCAGGGCGGGGAAGGGTCTTTGCTGGGGGAAGGCTGTAGATGCCTCATACAATACATAAGCAATGTAAAAATCCCAAGAGGAAATATATTTCTATCTCCATATAGATGCAAATAATTTTTTGGCCCCTTAATATTGTCTTTTTAAAAGAATTGCTTTACTACCAGTATTTGTCTCAAACTGCTATGCAGTCAGCCTAAAACAACATTGACAAGGACCGAATATCTCAATCAGAATTTCAGGTTAGGAGGAGTAGGTTTATCAATATTTCAAGGTATTACCTATCCTAAATCGTTTCTGCATCAATTGGAGAACAGCAATGGATTGGGGGAAAGTATAGTATGGCACACAGGGTTAATCTTTCACAGCCAAAGCAAGAAAGGTGGGGGACCCTTTCATCTATATATCTAATTTCCAAGTTGCCCCCCTGCGTGCGGATATCTAAATCCACACATCGGGGGCACCTGGGGGGCAGGGAGATTTTCCTGCACACACGGGGCAGTCCCCAGGTGTTCAGAAAAATCTAAAAATACTTCAATCCCCCCCAAAAGTAAAAGAGCATTCCCTGCACATACGCAGAGAATGCTCTGGCCGTGGGGGGGGGGGCGGCTCAGCAGGCCCCTCTTGTAGATCCGTATTTTGCTGCAGAAACATGTGTCTCCATGGGAGGCCATGTAAAGAGAGAGAGGAGGGGTCAGAGGATAGTTCCCAGGTTAAGACAAAGAGAGGTTTCCTATTAAAGGAGATAACACCTTGTATATAATATTGTCATCTGTTAAAAATAGTTTAAAGCTACAATTGTTGTATAACAAAGCTACAATTGTTGTATAACAACTATTGTGTCTTTTCTTGGCTCTCAGCCATTTAAGGGTATTGAGTGTTCCATTTGACATCTGTGAAACCTTTAGGGCTTCTTCCCAGCATACCAGTGTGCAGTCTGATACCAGCTAACCACACATTTTGTACCTAATTGAAGAAGAAGAAGAGATTGGATTTATACCCTGCCCTTCCCTAACCAAAGGAGTCTCAGAGCAGCTTACAAACTCCTTTCCCTACCCCTACCCACAACAGACACCCTGTGAGGTAGTTGGGGCTGAGAGAGCTCTGACAGAAACTGCTCTTTTTCAAGAACAGCTGTGCCAGAACTATGGTTTGCCCAAGGTCATCCAGCAGGTGCAAGTGGAGGAGTGGGGAATCAAACCCGGTTCTCCCAGATTAGAGTCCGCACACTTAACCACGACACCAAACTGTCTCTAAGTCAGCTGTCCTACAGACAATCTACAGGATACAGACAAGGGGATCTTAATATCATGGCCTGAAATACGTGTTTCTTGCTCCTTCCCTCTCCACTTTTTAATATCCAACCTGATGAAGAGTTCTGGAGAACTCAAAAGTTTGTGCAATGTATTATGTTATTTTGATTGGGCTTCATGGATATTGTTTTTGGAATTTATAGTGGTGTCTGGAAGAGTCACAGATTAACAGCCAGGCTTCTTGCTTAGCCCCAGATCCATCCATTAATGCATGCAGATTCATTTGTTTTTAATTTTCTCTTTTTTTTGCAAGAATTGCTATTTATATACAAGCATTGGTATGTGTGCTATGTTTGATCTGTACAAAAATCTGTACAGATTCTAAATTAACAGATATAGTACTTGAAGGCTGTACCTTGGAATCTCAAGAGTATTTCAACACTGCAGTGTAAAATGCTCATCTAAAGCCAGTAATTATGTTCTCAGATTTGTCATGCTCTTCACATTCTACTGTTCATTACTTTGGGAGACTTGCTTTACAAATATGTCCATTATATGAATTCCACTTTCGTTATAGCCACATTCTTGACTCCTGTTGTGTGCAGCATTTACTGTAATGTAGATGACTACCAACAGATGGCAGTAACTTTACAAACATTTGAATTCAGTTCTATCCTTAATGGCTTGTGTTGGGCATACAGTTAACTGGCTTTTTAAATGAATGGCCACTGATGTAGGATATACACTTTGGTGTACTTGTGAGAGATAGCTTAGTAAACAAGCATCCTGTATATGATAAAGAATCTGAGCTCTTTTTCTTTTACAAGTCCTGGAAAGACACTTTCTTGCTCCATGATTAGAGGATACAGTATAGATTTTTCTTATCATCATTTAATTGGAGGGGGGAAATGAAAAAAAGCATGCTGGCTTTGCAAGAATATTTTCTACGCAAAGCACTAAGCCTCTTCCTGCTCCCCTTCAAGAGCTGCTTCTTGTGAAGATCTTCAGTGTTTCAGTCTCCGGACAGGATTGGTGGCATCTTCCTCAACCCCCCCCCTTTCCTTTAAACAAACCTGTCCTTTTTACTGAGTTTTCATTAATATTGATATCATCAGCCAAAAAGAAAATGGTTCCATTAACTGAGTTCTGCCAGTTGCCCTATCCATTGATTTTCCCCACCCCAAGTCACAGCTGATTTACAGCGGCCCCATAGATTTTTCAAAGCAAGAGACATTTGATTCCTCTTGTTCACACAGGGTCCATTCTATACACTCTGAACCCGGGCCTGTCATTTCTCCAGAAAGCACTTTCCTGGAGGCACCTTCTTTGGCCTAACTTGGAGCCCAGAAGTGCAACATAAGAACATAAGAGAAGTCAATGTTGGATCAGGCCAATGGCCCATCCAGTCCAACACTGTGTCACACACTGGCCAAAAATACTAGATGCAATCAGGAGGTCCACCAATGGGGCCAGGACACTAGAAACCCTCCCACTATTGCCCCCCCCAAGCACCAAGAATACAGAGCATCACTTGCCCGAGCCTGAGAGTTCCTATCTATACCTTGTGGCTAATAGCCACCGATGGACCTCTGCTCCATGTTTATCCAATTCCCTCTTGAAGCCGTCCGGGCTTGTAGCCGCCACCACCTCCTGTGGCAGTGAATTCCATGTGTTAATCACTCTTTAGGTGAAGAAGTACTTCCTTTTATCCATTCTAACCCGACTGCTCAGAGTGCCCATGAGTTCTTGTATTGTGAGAAAGGGGGAAAAGTACTTCTTTCTCTACCTGCTCTATCCCATGCATAATCTTGTAAACCTCAGTCATGTCACCCCTCAGCCGTTGTTTCTCCAAGCTAAAGAGCCCCAAGCGCTATAACCTTTCTTCATATGGAAAGTAGTCTCTAGGACCCTGGGGTGTGTGTATTATTCTGCATCCTGAACTTACTGAACTGCTTCAGTTTGTCTGAGGCCATTTCAGTTTGGGTTCAGTTCAGGTTCAGTTCGGGCACGAACCACAAACTGAACCTGTTTTTTTCTGTTTCTTTACATCCCTGTTCAAAACAAAGCCGCACAGGTCAGAGTCTGATTGAAAGAACAGAAGAGCATTATTTATACCTTTGTGCAATAGCATGATATTTTATTCTGAATCTCCACTTGCACCCGCTTTTTACATGCAGTGTTGTTCAAGTATGAACTAAAGGTCTGAGACCTGAGGTCTGTCAAGTTGCCAAGGTTGCCTCTTGATCTCAGTAGTGATGATGTTACTGTTAAGTCTCAAGCCCAGTATTGTAATGTCAACTTCTGTTTTCTTGTTATGCACACTTCCACAGCTGCTAAGAGAGGTCATAACTTCTGCGTACTATTTGTCCTTCATGGTGCCTCAGTATACCGAATGGGCAGTTGGGTCGTGCTCTCCCCAAAGCATAATGTGTTCTTGTGGATCACAGAGTGTTTGGTCAGCAAAAGGGAAATGGCATGGCTCTGTTATCCATAAGTACAAAAAAACAATATCTATGTTCATGGACAGATGCTGGGGACAAAGAACTGGGGAGGGGTCATTCTTACTGTTGTGTCCACTGACCGCCACCGGAGGTCAGCGCACACGCCTGAGCTTCAGTCCTGGACAACAATGGGGACTAGGATCCTAGTCCCTCCACTGGGGGAACCAATGGGACCGTGGCGGGAGATTCAAACCCGCAACCCCGCCAATGGACCCAGGGGTGGTCCCCTGGTCGTGTATATAGTTGGCCTGCCGGCCGTTTGTTCCCTGTCTTGTGGTGTACCTAATAAAGCGTGCTATGCACTACGTCGTCGTCTGTTGTTCATCCATGCGGCAACCCACTACACAATAGTGGCGACGAAGGTGGGATTCAGCCACAACTGAGCCGGGCCGTCGCCGAGGGACCAAGAGCACGCAGCGAGCCGCCGAGGCCGTTCCTCTTAGATCCGCTCCGACGCGCACAATGGCAACCACTCCAGGGTTCGGGCCGCAGCCGCCCTTCGACATGCCCCTTCCGCAAGACTGGCCAGCCTGGGTCAGGGGCGTCAAGTCAGCGCTTGCCTTCTGCGACATCACAGAT